TCAACCAGTTAGGGACTTTCTGAGCTATTGTTATCAATAGGATAGATTGTATAAGTAAACGTATAAGTAAAAAATGCAAATCGATAGCAAGATGACTGGTATACTAGTTGTGATAAGAAGAGTAAATGCTGACAAGCTATTTCTGGTATATGGTTAGATTTAGTTTTTCATTAAAATTCTTTCTAACTAGATTATTAGGTAGTTCACTACGTTCATTTTCATTTCCGAAAGTGAATTTGATGTTTTCACCAAACCAACATATTCAAATTGGTACTTCCACTTTAGCTTTATACATCTGTTCACTTCGCAAATTTACCTGACCATGATACTGTACAGAAGGACAATTAAAATTACTAGTTCAGAAGAAGATAAGCTAAAGGAAAAAGACAATATAATACGGCCTACTAATGTTTTAATCAATATTTTTAAAGATTTATTAAACCGAAACTCTACATCTTGAAGTAACAGTCTTAACGAAAGTCCTTGGATTGGTACTGTAGTTTTACCCTACCACAAATGTACGACTGGAAAATTACATGGGATTTCGAGTAGCTTTCTATAAAGCAATCAACACTCCATGAAAATTTTTAGTAAGAAGGACAAGATCCTTTTTCGATCCAGACAAAATTGTGTCTACAAATTAATTTGTGTTGATTGTGATGTGCTCTGTATTGAAGATTCTTCTCGCTAAATCTTGACCTCTGCCAAAGACCACTTAAGCTACACAAAATATCTAATAATCCTTAAGAACTGAAAATAGCAGTACATACCACTTTCAATAACTACCAAATCGATATGAAAAATATTAAACTGATTCAGAGGATTTTCAAATTATGAAGAGTGACGAGTAACTGAAGCATTTCATATAATGCTAAATCCATCTGCCCAAACTAGGTTGTTTATCCAAATAACCACATTTGATTCAGTTCATAATATAAACAAATCTATACACATTTATATTTTTATTGTTCTCAACTGCACCAACTGTCACAAACTACGTTTATTTTTCTTACCCTCCTTTATACATACAAATAACTCCCCGAGGTCTCTCACATTCATGTCCGAACCTACTAAAAATATTCTGTTGTTTCGTTTTTGCCAATTAAATTTGTGTTAAATGATTTCAGGTATTTACTGTTTTTCTCCGAAGAAATGACTTGCATTACTTTACGACACGTCATAAATACAAAGAGTCACCATACATCAAAACCATTTTGTTTGGAATGAACTGAGTTACTATGTAGAAACAGCACAATAATAAGAGATCGTAAAAAGGAAGAATTGCAAATGTTCAGAAATTTGTCTATGAAGAGTAAATACTGCGTGGATAGTAAGTTAGTCTGATGAATCTATTCTGATTACTTAACTATCGAACGTCAATTAGTGGTTAAAATTTGTTGATCGAGTTTACAATTCAATGAATAATCATTGAAAGCTAATATGAAGATGTAACATGTATTGTTTCTGAAGTTTATGTTCGCTCAAAAACATAGATAAGGCCTGGCGTTGACGTTTCTGCACGCTTATGCTCTCGTCACGATTTGCAATCGTATTGTTCAGAGATGAAGAAAGAGATGACACTACTGAACTGTTCAGTTTTCCACTAAGATCATGAAGGATTGGTTTGATTTCAAACGGACAGGATGTTAGATTTATTTCGAGGTATTTATTTAAGCTATATTGTTACAAAACTGGTCGTTAAGTCTTGTTCTGAATAAAATTCTATTAGACTAGAGATGCCCATTATCTAACGATCGTCGAATGTTTTTGCCAATACTACAAAACATCATCCGTTTCTTGAACTGCTCAGTTAGGATATTTTCATTCGGTATATTGCGTAAAGACGTAATCAGATTTTCTAGAGGATCTTATGTTAGCCTGAACATGGAGTAAGCCTGAAATATAGTCTTTTAATTAGTCTTTTCAATATTCTTGTAACTACCGTATTCTATTTGTAAACCTGTCACAATCAATATGTTGGTCAAGTTACTAATCACTCGTTAGATTCCTAATGTATATTTATAGTTTTAAATGTTGATTATTGTACATAAAATTGAAGAAATAACGACTCCCTTATCACATTGCTACCTGGAATTCCTAATATTTGGTGATGTTCAATGAAGGGATGTTGTATGCTGGATTTAAATAAATATCCGGAACTTTATGGGTATCAGAGAAATTATATATTGGTGTTTTCTTTCAGAGTCCCGTTCATTTCGTTCAATGAGTTGCTCATTTTCTGCACATTTTGTCACCAGAAATTTGTCTTTTTGTTTCACTAACTGGACAGAAAATGTTCCCTATTATATTTTTTTTGTTGGTTCAAGGATATTTTGTGAGATTCTTTCTTCTAACATTCAAACAAAATTTTTAATAACGCTTAGAAAAATATGTTGAGCATGATTCGTCATTAACTGGTCCTAAAAATGATTATAGTAGTGTAAAACGTGAATCTGCCTATACGGAGCAATCATTTATACTCGATAATATTATGTTTATCTCATCCTTATTGGTGGGTACATTCTGTCGTTGAGGTCACTGAGCGTCTACTAGTCTAAATGATTTGAGACCACATGCAGTTTACTTCTTTGTTAACCATGTCGGCTTGATTTCTTTTTTATAAGTGACAACTTTGACAAAACCTAGGTCGATATCTCTCGGTCGATTACTTCCGACCTAATATCATGGTATTCTAATTTAATTTCAAGTACATTTCAAAGTACAACAAAATATAGAAAGCAAATTTCAATCTATTACTTGTTTTATGTAGCTATTAATTCGATAAATAATTAATATTTTCAGTTTGTTTTTCGAAAACGACCCAATTTTATACTTTGGGTTATGTGTTTTTAGCTAATAAAAATTATAAGGAAAGTGAAAACCAATATCACAAATCGTAGCTCGTTGAGGTAGTCTGTGGTTGGTCATTCGTAACACATGTGTCAACCACTTCAACGGATGATGTTTCATTACTTCATCTGCTTATCTGACATCCCTACCTAGTACATGTTACCAAATGACAGTATCGCTTACTCGTTTGTCCCATGATACACGAGTAATGCTTTGGTGACATCTCTAATCGAATACTAATAACCTACGAATGTCTTCTACTCTTAGCGGTCATGTTTGGTGTCCATATTACAGGACAGAGCGAACTGTTGCGCAGTGCGCTAGTCCTTTGGTTAGCAGACTGACATCTCGCCTGCGCCATAGGTGACGCAAGTTGGCAAAAGCCAATCGAGGTTGCTGTATTCGTGCTGAGATTTCGTGAGTCACCAGGCTATCAGCACTGATGAGACTACTGAGTGGACTTATATTAATTGTAGTTAGTATGTATGTTCTCGTTCTTTATACACACGTGAATACTTCATCGTTCTATGAATTAATTCTTTTTGCTGTTATTTTACTGTTATTGGTGTTTGCATTTTTATCATAGAGTTTTGTATGATCTATGCAGATATGACATCATTTCACCAGATTGTCATTATACATTACTGTTCGATCAGTAATTAGAACAAATTACATTGAATTTAAATCAGTTTATATCTGTTTAATGTTAGCGGTGAATCTTTACTAATGGAAAGCTTATTACTAATTATCAAACGTAAAATCTCACACAATCAATAAACAGTAAGTTATCTTATTGCCGATTTTACTGAAATCGGAAGAAAAGTAATGTGAAGCCAGAATAGCTGGTCAATGGACTATTTTTGCTGTTTAAAACTCCATTCATATATTATTGTTGTCCTAATAATATTTTAAAATAAAATTATATATTTATATGGGAGATAGTTAATTACTTTTGATTTGAATTATCTGTATTTATTTATAGTTTTATTTGGGAATAAAGCATTCTACATAATTTGGTTGTTATCATAGTCTTAAGTAGTTCAATGAACTAAACACTTTATGTCTATTATTTTACAAAGCGAAATATATATATTAGGCTTATTCATTTTTCTCAACTTTATCACCTTCACTAACGATAAGTGACCAGAGTACATATTAAATTTGAAACTATGAAAAAAAGCATATTTGATTGATCAATCAAACGTGACTAGAATCTATGTATGAAACAAAGTTGTAAATGGTTCGTTTGTTTGAGACAAAATAAAAAGTAAGTTATTATAATTTTACTGATTATGACGACACTCCTTACTAAAAATGATTTATTCTTTTTTTCACACCATTCATTCATGAAGATTTGATTAGCAGGCTGGTCGATATGATCATTAAACAGAATACTATTATTTGACCACTTATTTTACAAACCATCAACGTATCGTCAAATAATTCTACTTTGAAAGAAGATTTCATTATTGGATTAGTAGAATAGTTGACAAGCTATGAAGAACTAAACATCTGTCTCATTGTAGTCTTAACTTGAATTTGCAAATAGAAGAATGACTAAGAATAAGAAACTCATTTTTTAAAGTTAAAATTTAATTGTTTTTAAGTGTTAAAACAATGAGTAATTTATTTTAAATGTTTATATATATATATATATATATATATATATATATATATATATACATTTTCAGCTGCGTTTTAGATAAATTAGTGGAATATCAATTGTGCACGACTAAGCTTTATATATCATTTAACCTTTATGTATCACATAGTACTACATGGTTGTTCTTTTCTCATGTTATTACTATTGGATGTTAAAAACATTTTATTATAGGTTTCGTTATGTCGTTGGAGAGTATTTGTCTTCCTACGAAGTACCGGACATATGTTCATTCGTATTTTAACTGATTCTCAGTCATTGTATCCTTTAGATATCCCTAACTAGAATATATACATTCTGTTTTTGCATTTATTCTATTATTTCATTATTCGTTGGTAGATGCATGAATCCATAAGATCAGCTGCCTTTAAACTTGATCAATCTTTTTTGTATTATTCAAGAAAGTTAATTTTTGCGAGAAATTTAAAGATACATATTAATGAATGAAAAATTACACACAAAGGAAATGAAATTTAAGATATTTACTTACTTGATTATTTGCTGGTAGACAGTCTAAAATATTTAATACAAGTTTTGCACCACTTTGTGTAAATCCAGGCAATGCTATTTGCATGGCATCATAAAACATTGGATATAATGCACTTGTGAATAAGGGTTCTGGTAATTCTCGAAGAAAATCTTTAAATACAGCTGAATGCAATTGAAAAGAGAGACAAATTATAACAAATTTAATTAACAGAATGAAATATATGAAATGTTGTGTAAAAAATAATTAGTCAAAATAATTTTGTACTACCGGAAAAAAAATTTTTTTTAAATTTTCAAACGGAAATTGATGATGGAATAAATGTCTGATGAGTATAGTTTTCACGTTTCGATGTATTCACTATTATCAGTTTTCACTTATTCTTCTTGAGTTGTTATTATTTCTAATCATCCATGTGAACATTAACGTTGAACAGCACCATTCACATTTGAACATATATTTTGCTATCAACTGTGAAGTAGTTATCAGAATATTAATTTTATACTGATGAACCGATTATTATTCTTGTTTGGCATTTATGAGATTAGCAGATCAATGGCGAAGGTGCTCAGTTTTCGATGACTGGAATTATATCAACAGTGGGATTTAGGCTGACCTTGCAAATTAATCTACCAGTTTGGCACAGTTTTTGCTTATGTCACCTAAAACTTAAAGATAGGTGAGGTTGTTTAGGAAAAACAATAGATCTTTTCAACAGGACTGAAGATAAAAAAAGGCTACTGGTTATAAAATACACATTTTTTCAATAGTTGAATCTCTCGCAGTGAATATGATCATTACTATTGTATATATTTTATATATACTAGTTGATGCCAACTGTTAAAATTATACGTTTTAAGAACAATAAACAAACATTTAGTTGTGCATCATACATACAGAGAACTATTTTCGTATGATTGTGTCCATTTTAGTTCAGTTATATCGAAAGTGTAATAGGTATAATAATGCCATCTGGTAATAGTCCTACTATGTAACAAACTAATTACTGCCTGCTTGATGTAAAATTCACAGTCTTGAACGACATAGAATTCTATTAGTGTCTCATTCTGCAAGGTTCAGTTGTGAATATCAACGTATGATTTTGAAATACATCAAAAGTGCTTCTTAATACATGTGATCAGAACGTTTTATGACGAAATGTTCAGGTTACATTTCTTTTGTATTCTTTTCATGTTGCGTTACCAGGGTTTTCAGAAATACAGAAGTAATGTTAAGTAATCTTGCTCAGTTGAAGAACTGAAGTAAATATTGCAAACGGTTTAACCTTGAAAAAATCATCTTAATAATGTTATCTAGTGTTTTAAAACGTTTTTCATCAAAGTATAACAGTTCAAACAGAAATTTAACGAATTCTGTGCAGGTTTATTATTGTTGAACTCAATAAGCTGTTGAGAGATTGTTTCTTGCATTTATTTATTTAATTTAAGCTTAAAAATTCGCTTCGAAGTTAGGATATAATGAACGAGAAAAGATAGATGATAATAATACTAAAATAGGAGAAAAATGAATGAATTTTTCTTGTCGAAAAATAACTAGTTTATTTTTTGTTTCGTATTATGACCTACTAGTATTAATTATTAATAATCTTTTTTGTTTCTTTTTCTATGATGAACTAAGATAAATACAAACAAGTAAATGATTATGCAGAATAAAACTAAATGACAAGATAAATATAGAACAAAAAACAAACAAAGGAAAACTTATCATTGATGGGGGGTAAGCAAGTATGGAGGTGTCGATGTACAAATGTTTACACGCAAATACAACTACTTGATAAGTACTTATATGTAAAAATGTAAGAGATAATAAACAAGAATACCCAAGAGATATGAAGAAAAAATTTGCTACATGTATACACGTTCAACAATATTCAGTGAATTAGGTCAAGTGTTTTTAAAGTGATATGAAAAAAAAAATGAATGTCTTATTGAAATTTTAAGGAGGGTTACATGACTTTTTAGCAGTACTGAATAGAAATTAGATCTGTATGATTTCATGCTGTGAATAACATTGAATAATAATTTTAATTAGTATAACAATGAACTTTGCTTATATATATATATATATATATATATATATATATATATATATGTACACATATATGCCTGAATTTTTGCTTCGTTCCAAAAGGATAAACCTCTTTAAATTTCATGTCATCGTCTTTTAGTTCTATCTAGGTTTACTTAGTTTATTTACTGATTGTTAACATGTGTGCTTGTGTCATATGTATTCTTGTCGTTTCAGTCCCATGTCTTTCGATTTCATATATATATATATATATATATATATATATATATATATATATATATATATATATATATATATTGCATACAGTTTGATAATTATCATTTTTATCCTTCCTAAAAAGCTTTTATGCCTTATTTCTCCATGTCACCATGATAATATTAAAAAATAATCAATTAGTTTATCAGTGTTATTAAGGATTCATCATTAGAAACTTATGTTAAATTGATAAAAGCAAAGAAAAGGCACGGGTTGATTAATATCTTAAAATTTCATAAATATTATGTAAATTAATTTTATTGTGATATGTTATTTACGTCTCAGGGAGGAACATAGACTTTTATAAACAAACTGACGGATATTTGCTGATGGTACTGATTAGTAATGATAATAATAAAAAGTACTTCGATGGTTTTTCTTATATCATGTCAAGTATAGTCTAATGAAGTGTATCAAATGAAAAGAAGCAGCTTTAACAATGCTACACAATTCTGAAATTGTATAACAAATGTAACAAATATATGTCTAGAGAATTAATTTATAAACTTGGGTACTTAATTCATAAAGTAAAAATATCATTTTTATGTTAACTGGTCTATCAGTTTTAAATATTTATGTAGTGCGCAGCGTTTTCAGGTCATTTTCAGTTAGTTTTATATATTTGCATGATTTTCAGTGAAGATTAAATTTCAAGCCCTGGATTTCTATTTACTTGTATTTTTCCTTGAAATGTTTACTACAGGCAGATGTGCATAACGTTATATGTTTGAACAGAAATCTACGATTGAAACTACGCTCTTTCTGTCATAGGTACTCACTGAGTAAATGGAGAAACGTTCAAATTAATTGATCATTTACTTCAAGAACTTTTTAATTATTTGTGGAGTTTAAAGTAATTTGTTTTTAAAATAGTGCGTTCCAGTGCAGCAGAAACTGTTTGCAAACTAATCACACAAAGGATAATGACAACCAATGTATATTCACAGGAAAAAGGTAATGTTTCTAAAATTGTTTAATGTTCTGATAGGTTTTTGATCATTGTGCAAGTGTTCTTCAAAAAGATTTATATTTTTAAGAAGAGCTGAGCATTTACTAGTCAGTTAATGAAATAATATGATTTTCTGAACTGAAAATGAGAACTAACCGATCACGAAAAGTTCAGTGTCACAAAAGCAAGAGAGAATCATATTGAGGAGATAAAGTGCAATAAATTTTTTGTAATAAATATCAATTTAAAAATAACGGAAGTACGATCATTGGAAATGGTCATTGTGCCAACAATGAGAGTACATACTTTCTCTTAATTACTAATTAAGTTAATTGTTCATCCTTTTATATGTTATCAAAACATTAGTGAAAATGATAAGCATCATTTATTGAGTTAATGTTTGTTGGGTTATTGTTAAATTGGAATAGAATATCTTATCGAATTATTTAGTTTAAGGTAGCTTTATGGTATCCGAAGTACAAAAGTTAACAGGTTTGAGTCCTATCACACATACACACACATGGAAGTATATAAATGTAATACAAAATACAAAAAAATAGGAAAATAAAGGACTACATTTATGTATAAAAATCTACTGTATAATAAACAACAATTATAACAAATTGATTTGTAGTTAAACACTACTTTAATTGAATGAACAAGTGGAATTTACCTATGGATCACATACTTTTGTATAGAGTGACTAGAACTAGTAACAGTTTAAAACTTTGTATTTCATAGCGATTTAAGAAAACATGCAAACAAAGCATTTTGACAGAATTCGAAATTTGTACATGCTTTTCCTAACAACTGTTAAAAATATATGTTGATAAGTTTATAAGTTTTTAAAAGAAAATCTTATAAGATTGCCAATAAGTGTATCGGAAATGCATGATTAAACCTATCAATTATATTGAATAAATATGAAATATTTTTTTTCAATAAAAAAAAAGTTTTTTCTTTTTTACATGTATCATAATTGACTGATTCAAGATAATTATGAAAATATGTAATTTAATCAAGAATACTTATTACTAATCTGTCATCAAACTTTGGCTCTATAGCACAAATATATTACTTTCGTTAAATCATCTGAAAACATAATTTGTTTAGTGAGGACGATTTGAAAATATAAAGAATGTCTAACTTTTATGTAACTTGGTAACCAAGCACAGATTTATGTATTTGGCTATGTATAAAAGATAGCTGCAGTAATAATAGCTATAATGGGAACGAGCCTCATCCATATCACCCATATTTTTTAAGCACTAGTGACTATAATCATGGATTACAATCATATAGCCAGCACATAACTACGTCATCCAGCCCAACAGTCAATTATTTTGTGAACTAACAATATGTTTCGGCTTGTCTTGTCCTGGCTTTCTTGTAATCTATTCCTACACCAGCTGTCATCCCGCTTTCAGGTAGACATTGTTACTATGCAACATAGTTATCCTCTTGTTGGTTAACAGATGTATCATCTATTACATTAATATCTAAAGTTGTTGGATTACTATCATGCTATATTATGAGCTGGAGTTGGAAGTGTAAATCATTAGATTTTGACTGATTGCTCATGATTGTGCACTGTTGAAGAGTTTCAGTAAAGGTTATAACGTCTGTTAGATAATTTCCTTAAAGAAGCCAAATTTTGAAATGGTATGTTATGAATCACCTATTTTCAAAAATATGTAGATGGATAACGTAACGGCAAATAACTGTGGAGTTATTGAGACAAGGGAACTGCAGTTATTCTGAATGACTGATTATTTTCATTGGGGAATCACTGTAATTTTCACTAATCAAATTAATTGTGTATAAGATTTATTCACCGTTTAGGATAAATAAACCACTCTAAACAATACATTAATCTATGTATTGACTTAGCGTGTAAACTTACTGACTAAT